CCTCTATTTATAGTGGTAGGAGTAGTTATTTATATAAGGGTATTTTTACCTTAATACCCTTATAGCTTTAGGTAGTGGGCTACCTATAAATTTGTATGAACCTACTTTACCGTTTAAAAGTTTATTTAATTTGGGCCCATAGAATTTAAGTCTACTTTAATTTAACAAGCCTGATTAATTGTGTTTGGGCTTTTATTATTTAGGCTATGAAATTTAGATCCAGTTTAAATTAATTTTGACAAACCTTGTTAAATTTGAGTTTGTATTATTTAGGTTATGGAATATAGGTCCAACCCAATTTTATTTATCTAGTTGATTTGAGTTCAATTATAAATTTTAATTGATTAATTTTTTCATGTCTACAAATGCCCCTCAAGACTTATTTGCATATTTAATATTTTATCAATTTATATTTCAATTTAAAAGGAGTTCGAACAAGATATAGAATCCTAAACCATACAGATTTCACAATCCTATTTTATTTGAACATATGAGTCCTATAATATAGACTTCCAACTTAAGTCAGAAATCTCTTTTTTACTCAAACACATGGACCTAAAATATAGACTTTTAATCCATCTATGATTAGGATACCAAAATTTTATTTTAACTTAAATACATAGAACTAGAATGTCTATATATATGAAGCTATATGTACTCGGAATTTTATGATCAACAGGCTAGTCAACAAATTTGGACCTTGAATCAAGTTTGTAAGGTATTGCTTTTGGGGCGTTATTTAACTATATATATTGCTTTTGATTGTTATGGTGTTTAGCTTTGTCGGCATAATGATTTCTTTGTTGATTTCAAACTTACTAATATTTTAGTATTATTTAAATGTTCTTCTTGATTAAAGGAAAAAAAAACATGTTAATCGATTTTTCTATTGCCTTCATGATTAGTATCAATCATCACAATTTTCATTCTTTCTTTTAATTTCTTTTGTCATATTCTTAACAATAAGTTTAGATGTATGTAATTTGTCACTTTCTTTGTATGAAGTATACACGAGATTTTTTATGTCATAATGATCCTATTATTTTAGGTTTAATGCCCAATTATCTTAGTCATACTTATCACTGTATATTATTTGGATTTAATGATTCTTAAGTCTTACTAATATATAACTTTAATCCATATAAGAATCAAAGTACTAGTCTTTTCAATTTAATTGTGCTAGACTCAAAACAACAATTTTTTTTAGTAGGTCATATTGACATGAATATTGAACTAGAGTATCCTTTTATTACTGTATTCAAAAATTCATGTATATTTACCCACTTAATTTTAGGCTCAGTATTATATCACTTGCCCTTTGCAACCACCAAGAATTTTGGTGCTTATGTATAATAACAAATAAAAGTGAGTTTCATATTAAATGACTTTGAAAGAACTTTATTTAATTTGAATTTTTTGCTTATTATTTTTTTTAGCATATTATTATTCTTAACCATGAACAAAATGGAATTCTAATTTATATGGAGGCGAGATATATAATAATTCTTTTGTTCTCATTAAACATATGGACCTAAAATATAGATATATCCTGTAATCTAATAAACTTACAATGTCTAGTTAGTGAAAAATATTTTTAAACACAATTATAACCTATAAGACCTATATTTATTAGATCATATTGATATTTTAATTTATAATCAACCTTACGCAGTCAACTTGATATAAAACTTGATTCAAGTCTATTAGGTATGTCTGCCTTTGTTAGTTTGTTTTACCATTACTATTAATAATGTATTTTTCTTAATGAAAATTAAATTTTCTCTTTCTTAGTTGATTGACCCAATTGATCAAGTTATATGGTTCCACCGTTTTGTGGAAAGTATTCATCTTTTTGTTATTTATTGTGTAGCATTTTTTTTAGAACTTGTTGTATTTTTCCATGGTAGATTCTTTTTATATAGTTCATACCCTCCTTTTTTATTTATTTGATTGTAATTGTTGCTTTGTAAATTTGACATTCATGACAACAGAACCATATTGTTCCCTAATGACTATCTATAGAATTTGTCATTTTTATTTATTTATTATTTTTTTAATATATCTTGGCAGTTTTTCACATAGGTCAACTCAATGCAATCCAATAAAATTTTTTGATTTGTGTGTGTGCGTTTATATGTGTGTGTCTGTGGTTATATATATTATATTTAATTATCTTATTCTTATTCATAACTTGTTTCCTAATTTTTTCTTGAATAAAACATGACTTGTGTGTGTGTTTATGATTTCTTTATAACTTGTTGGGATAATAACTTTTTTTTTTCCTTCAAAAATGTTAGTCTTTAATATCTTTATCCCAAAAATTTATGCAAGGTAATCTTTTGACCTTAGAATTTTATCTTACTGACTTTTTTTTTGGTGAATTTTTTTAACAAACTCAACCTTATTTTTTTTTTCAAGAAATAAATAAATCTTGTTCCATGGAATTTTTGTTTTGAGTTAACTTTATTCCAAGAGTATTAATTTTAATTTTAATTGGCTTTTCTCAAGAATTTTATTTTAGATGACATGTTTATAACTTTTGTGTTAAATATAGGTGGCTTTTATTACAAGATTTTTATTTTATTTATTATTATTATTGTTATTATTTTTGACCACTTTAAGTGATTCTTATGTCAACTTAGATGACTCTTGTGACAACTTTAGATGACTTCTGTGGCAGTCTTACGTGACTTCAATGACATCTCTAGGTAACTTATGTAACAACCCCTGGTGACTTCTGTACTAGTCCTAAGGTGGCTTCTGTAATAGTCCTAGGTGACTTCTGTACCTGTCTAAGGTGACTTCTATAACAACCAAAAGTGACTTATGTAACAGCCTTAGTTGACTTCTGTAATAGTCTAAGGGGACTTTTGTAATAGCCCTAGGTAACTTCTGTAACAGCCTAAAGTAACTTCTATAGTAGTCCATGGTGACTTCTGTAATAGCCCTAGGTGATTTCGGTAGTAGCTCTAAGTGACTTATCTATTCTTGTATTGCTAGTATTCTTGTATTGCTATTGCTATTATTATTATTATTTTATTCCCACTTTATTTATTTATTTATTTATAGCATCAAGGTTTATTTTATTAATTTTTTTCTTAAATTATTAATTTTTTTTCTTTCTTTTTTTTTCTTTTATTATTATTATTATTTCAAATGGCCACATCTTAAAAAGCCAAATCGGGAAAAATTATCAAAACTTCAAGTCAAAGAAAGAACTTATCTTCCGATGATTGGATTGCAGAGTTGAAGTATCCAATTCTGAAAGACAAAGTTTTATGTTTTCCAACTATTGTGGTAAAGAACTATAGAACCAACGAGTTGTCAACATTATCACTCAAAGTTCTTGAGCCCAAGACTAGTCCCTGCAGCCACTCGAGAATAATCTATGAACCTAAACTTCATATGCTGATGATTAGTGAATATCCTCTGACAGAGAACATGCACAAAAGTGACACAGTTAAGTCAGATCAACTACCATCACTTTACGCGCCTTCGTATCATTCCAAAGATCATCTTATCCCAAATCACTTGTTGCTGATCTAATCAACTAGAGGATTGCGAGGTGGGGATGTTCACTGAACCCAATGGGAGATATTCAATATCTGAATGAGATTTGAGAGTGGTCTCAATGAATTTGCCGCAAGTTGTTAGATAAGGGTTTCGACAAACATGTTTATGTTGTGCATGCAACTTCTTTTGACTACTATCAACCCAACAGTGTATATCACGCCCTTGGTGAAAATTGGTGTCCACAAACGAATACGTTTGTTACGGGAGTGGGAGAAATTAGAATCTCACTTTGAGAAATACGACACGTCACCGGTCTTTCAATCCGTGGCGAATATTTTGAAGAAGTTATCTTAAGCTTGACTGACTTGAGAGACTGTGGTATTGGCGCTCTCCCTGTAACTTGTCTGCATTTGTTTAAGGTTTTTGTCTTAATTAGTAAGAAGAAAGGGGATAATCGTCTCCTTCATTCAAATTGGCTTGATTTTTGGTTCAAGAATGGTGCACGTACTCCGGATCCTAAGAAGAGCAAGACATATAAAGCAGCCATGCCAAATTTCTTTAAAAGTGATGGAGAATTTTTTGCAAAGCGAAGATTGGTGAGACCTATTTAGGCCGAAATACAACCTATGAAGACAAAGGTCAATGGTGATGATCCCTTAATTCTTCTAGATCTCGACCTTGATGTCACAACACGTGAAGACTTAGAGATGACAACTAATTTAGATTTTATGGCTATGTCGCTTTATATTTCCTTTATCGAATGATGTCATTCGTCCAACTATCTTCAATACTGCCTCTTGAATGGCTGCTGGAGTCACATATAGCTTGGTTACCCCTATTGTTGTAAGCATTTACAAAGTTCTATCTGAGACATACAACATCAAGACTAAATAACTCTGCTTCAGATTTCATTTTCAAAACTCAATAACTCCGCTTCAAATTTCAACAGTTGCTCACTCAAGTCAAGAACTTTGAATTGTCCAACTGATATCATGCTATCAATTGTCGCCAACCTTCTATCTCTTTCTCTAGAGGTTAAAACTTTGACGTTTTTCTTGGTGTTTTGAAAGGTACTCATCTATTTTCATAAGAAGACAATCCATTTTTCTCACCAAATGATCTGTGTCAACATAGAAAATGTTTTTAAAAGTATCTTTAATACTTGAAGACTTGGAGGTCCACCAGGTCTTCAATCCAAAGAAACCATTTTTCATGGCATAATCAAATTCACCCTACAAATATAGGGGCATCTCGGTCAGAATTATTTTCTTTGCCAATTTTTTAGAAGTAATTGCTTCAACAGGAAGACTTGACACAAATAAAGACATGCGATTAGTTGTATACTAATCGAAAGCGCAACTAGATCAAGCTAATGCAATGTACCTGAGAAGATGAGAACATTGACATTAGTCTTGGAGATCACACTTCATCAGGTCCATAAAGCTCAAGAAGAGTATTCATAATAGAATTATTAATAGTTTCTTGCCTTACTTGTATAGAACATAAATTGTTTTACGATTAACTTCCCCTTTATATGAATTGGTATTTTCTCTGTCAACCAGAGGAAGAATCTCACCACTGTCGGAAAGATTGGACATGGTCCGATCGTTATCATCAATTAAAGATCTAATGATATCATTGTCAAGATTTTGGTCTCCACAAGTACCTGGGATGAAATTTAATGTGGCAAGATCTGGAAGTGTATATATATATATATATACCTTTATTGCAAGATAACGGGGATAACTCTAAAAAGGTTGATAAATCATTCAGAGTATTACAAGATGGGTTAACCCTGCTTGTGGGAGACTTTATAGTGGTATGATTTGCACCATCTTCTGACCGGGCATAAGCCAGATTATGCTTAGCTTCTGTAACTCTTGTTTGACACCTATCTTGAATTATCTGCTTAGTAGAACCAGGATTATTAACTGGTACAATTGTGCTTGGAATCCTTCCACGATTCGAGCCTATATCTTGTTTCTTGAAAACATCCTTGGACATGTGAGATGAAAGGAGTGCATGATCAAATTCGTTTGACGAACTCACTTCAGCAGAATCTGGGATGTTTAAAGGATGAGCATATCGAACGTTAGCTAATCTTGAAACAGGTGTTGTGACCATTAACATCTTTGGAACTGGCTGTTTTGGAGATTCAAACAATCCTTTGAATTGTCCCATTTTCGAAGACGTAGAGGAGCTTTAGCCACTGTAGGAAGGGATTTCCTCTTCCCTAACCCATAAGCTTGAGTTTTGAATTTGAAATTCTTAGATTCACTAGCTAACAAAGTTTTACAATTGATGTTGTCTAGGTGTGGAAGTACATCATCTTTCCACCAATTGTTGTAACTACTGTCACATTAATTATCAATCAGAGCACAATTATTAAGGACATGGAATTTTGTCCCACTGTTTATCTTGGTTAAACTCAACCATGCCCAATATAAAAAAAAGGCATCAAACAAAATTATCGATGGGTGTAAGGGAGTATCCGACAATCTTTGATGAAATTCATGCTGCCTAGCAAAGCTATGTGGGTTATACATCTCAAGAATGCAAACTGGCCCACGACGATACATGACGTGTCTACCTCGCATACTTGTCATTAATTCAAAGGTTTCATTTGATCTTTCTCCATCATCATGACGAGGCCCTTGATTTTCAGAATACGGAACTGGTTGTCAGTAAAAATCACTGGAACTCATACTTCCACGCAAAAGATCTGGAATTCCTTTTGCTTCTTCCTTATAAAAAAGATAAGCATTCAGTGTACATATGAATTCTCAAAGCAAATGACGATCAAGCTCCTCATTAACCTCAGCATAAACTCCCCGAGGGAAATGCATCGCTACCCAAATATAAAAGTAATGACCTGGAAAAGCATACGAAGCCATCCCGAGATTCTTTTGGTCATATCAGGTGCTGCATGTCTCAAATATGCCTTTGTAAATGCTTGGAACAATAGGTGGAACCAAAGTATATGTGACTCTAGCAGCCATTCAGGAGGCAGTCTTGAAGATAGTTGGATGAATAACATCATCCGGTAAGGGAAATACAAAGCGACATAGCCACAAAGCTAAATAAGCTGCAATCTCCAAGTCTTCGTGTTGTAACATCAAGGTCAAGATCTAGAAGAATGAAGAGATCATCACCATTGACCTTTGTCTTCATAGGTTGTATTTTTGCTTGAATAGGTCTCACCAATCTTTGTTTTGCAAAAAATTCTCCATCCCTTTTAAAGAAATTTATCATGGCTGCTTTTTATGCCTTGCTCCTCTTAGGATCCAGAGCACGTGCACCGTCCTTGAACCAAAAATCAAGCCAATTTGAATGACGGGGATGATTGTCCCCTTTCTTCTTATTAATTAAGACAAAAGCCATAAACAAATGCGGGCAAGTCACAGGGAGAATGCCAATACCAGAGTCTCTCAACTCAGTCATGCTTGAGATAACTTCTTCAAAATATTCGCCACTGATTGAAAGACCGGTGACATGTTGCATTTCCCAAAGTGAGATTGTAATTATTCCGCGCTTGCAACAAACGTATTCGTTTGTGGACCCATAACTTCACAAAGGGCGCGATATACACTGTTGGGTCGAGAGTAGTCAAAAGAAGCTATATACACAGTATAAATAAGTTTGTCGAAACCCTTATCTAACAACTTGCGATAAATTCATTGAGACCACTCCCAAAATCCATTCAAATATTGAATATCTCTCCTTGGGTTCAATGAACATCCCCACCTCGCAATCCTCCGGTTGATTAGATCATCAACAAGTGGCTTTGGGATACGATGATCTTTGGAATGACATGAAGGCGCGCAAAGTGATGGTAGTCGATTAGACTAAACCGTGTCACTTTTGTGCATGTTCTCTGACAGAGGATATTCACTACTCATCGACATATGAAGTTCAAGTTCATAGATCATTCTCGAGCGGCTGTAGGGACCAGTCATGGGCTCAAGAACTTTGAGTGATAATGTTGATAGCTCGTTGGTTCTATAGTTCTTTACCAAAACAGTTGGAAAACACAAACTATGTCTTTCAAAATTGGAGCTTCCGACTCTGCAATCCACTCATCGGAAAGTAAGTTCTTTCTTTAACTTGAAATTTTGATAATCCATATTTTTTTCTTCTTTTCTTTTTCAGATGGCCTCATCTCAGAAAGCCAAATTGGGATAATTTAAATTAACACAAAATAAGATCAAGTTAGAATAGTCAATTTGATTGACTATAAGTAAAATATTTAGTGTTGACTCTCTTCAGCTTGCTTCTCACGTGCACTGTCCTCTGATTCTTGATAAATTTGATGAAAATGATGAATTTACTGAAGATGAAGGCCTAATTGATGTATTTATTGCTCTTCAATCGGTGGCTTTGATGAATACGAGAGCTAGATCAATGTATCACCTGCTCTTCAATTTGATGGTGCTTTTGGTGAATCTTCTCACCATTATTCACTTGGAATGGCTTGAAAGATGATTTGAATTTTTTTGAAGTAGGACCTTGGCAGTGTGTTCTTCTTTCTAGAGATGAAATTGCAAGGTTTTAAGGCTTTAGTGAACTTCGAGCAAAGATTTGTCGATCTTCCTTCCTCCTTGACTTCTTCTCCCTTTCTATTTTTTTCTTGGCCTCCCCCACACCTCTATTTATAGAGGTAGGAGTAGTTATCTATATAATGATGGTAATTATCCATATAAGGGTATTTTTACCTTATTACCCTTATATGGGCTTTTGGTAGTAGGCTACCTATAAATTTGTAAGCTTTTAGTTAATTTATGGAATTTAAGTCTAACCCGCTTTACCTTTTAAAGTTTATTTAACTTAGGCCTATAGAATTTAAGTCCATTTTAATTTAACAAGCCTGATTAATTGTATTTGGGCTTGTATTATTTAGGCTATGGAATTTATGTTCAATTTAATTTAATTTTGACAAGCCTTATTAATTAAATTTAGGCTTATATTATTTACTTTATGGAATTTAGATCCAACCCAATTTTATTTATCTAATTGATTTGAGTTTAATTATAAACTTTAATTGATTAATTTTTTCATGTCTACAAATGCCCCCTCGAGACTTATTTGCATATTTAATATTTTATCAATATGTAAATGGGTGTTGATTTACATTTCAATTTAAAAGGAATTCGATTTAATTTAATTATATATATATACACTTACATACATATATTTTAATTGGAATTATAGTTCATATTGAACTTTAAACAAAATATAGAATCCTAAACCATACAGATTTCACAATCCTATTTTATTTGAACATATGAGTCCTAAAATATAGACTTCCAACTTAAGTTAGAAATCTATTTTTTACTCAAACACATGGACCTAAAATATATACTTTTAATCCATCTATGATTAGGATAACAAATTCTTATTTTAACTGAAATACATAGAACTAGAATGTCTATATATGTGAAGCTATATGTACTCGAATTTTATGATCAACAAGCTAGTCAAAAAATTTGGACCTTGAATCAAGTTTGTAAGGTATGACTCTTTATTTATTTATTATTATTTTGGGCATTATTTAATTATATATATATTGCTTTTGATTGTTATGGTGTTTAGCTTTGTCAACATAATGATTTCTTTGTTGATTTTAAACTTACTAATATTTTAGTATTATTTAAGTGTTCTTCTTGATTAAAGGAAGAAAAAAAAAACATGTTAATCAATATTTCCATTACCTTTGTGATTGGTATGGATCATCACAGTTTTCATTCTTTCTTTTAATTTATTTTGTCTTATTCTTAACAATAAGTTTAGGTGTATGTAATTTGTCACTTTCTTTGCATGAAGTATAGAAGAGATTTTTTATGTCATAATGATCCTATTATTTTAGGTTTAATGCCCAATTATCTTAGTTATACATATTATTGTATATTATTTGAATTTAATGGTTCTTAAGTCTTACTAATATAGAACTTTAATCCATATAAGAATCAAAGTACTAGTCTTTGTCAATTTAATTGTGCTAGACTCAAAACAACAATTTTTTTAGTGGGTCATATTGACATGAATATATAACTAGAGTATCCTTTTATTACTGTATTCAAAAATTCATGTATATTTACCCACTTAATTTGAAGCTCAATATTATATTATATCACTTGACCTTTGCAAACACCAAGAATTTTGGTGCTTGCGTATAATGACAAATAAAAGTGAGTTTCATATTAATTTATGATACTAAAAGAACTTTATTTAATTTGAATTTTTTGCTTATTATTTTTTTTAGCATATTATTATTCTTAACCATGAACAACATGGAATTCTAATTTATATGTGGTCGAGATATATAATAATTAATTTATAATAATTCTTTTTTTTTTAACTTTTCCTCCACTTCCAGATCTTGGGACATTAAATCTCATCTCAGGTATTTGTGGAGAACAAAATCTTGACAATGATATCATTGGAGTTTTTTTTATGACAACGATCGGATCATGTCCATTCTTTTCGGTAGTGGTAAGATTCTTCCTTTGGTTGATAGAGAAAATACCAATTCATGTGAAGGGAAAGTTAATTCTAAAACAAACTCTTCATGTGCTACACAAGTAAGGCAAGAAGCTATTAATAATTCTGTTATGAATACTTATCCTGAGTCTTATGGACCTGGTGAAGCGTGATCTCCATGACTAATGTCGATGTTTTCATCTGTCTCAGGTATATTTTATTAGTTTGATCTAATTGCCTTTTTGATTAGTATGCAACTAATTGCATATCTTTATTTGTGTCAAGTTCTCCTGTTGAAGCAATTACTTTTGAAAAATTGACAAAGAAAATAATTTTGACTAGGATGCCCCATATTTGAAAGGTAAATTTAATTATGCCATGAAAAATGGCTTTTTTGGATTGAAGACCTGGTGGACCTCCAAGTCTTCAAGTATAGAAGATATTCTTAAAAAGATTTTTTATGTTGTCACAAATCCTTTGGTAAGAAAAATAGATTGCCTTCTTATGAAAGTAGTTGAGTGCCTTTCAAAACGCCAAGAAAGCATCAAAGTTTTAATCTCTAGAGAAAGAGATAGAAAGTTGGCGATAATTGATAGTACAATATCAGCAAACAATTCAAAGTTCTTGACTTGAGTGAGCAACTGTTGAAATGTAAAGCAGAGTTATTGAGTCTTGATGATGAAATTCAGCGACTGTAAGATCGG